AGCTGCCTACATGTCATTAAAATATATTATTTTTACAGGCAGTGTGCACACAAGGAAGATTCCTACCTTTTGTGCTGCCTGTATTCATGCACTTTTAACTGCAGCTTGACTTACAAACCTAAGTAATGCTTACATGCACAATAGTAGGGCTAGTAAAAGGCTGCCAGACTTGCATATGAGAGAGCTTCTACACGTGTTAGCATTCAGGCATTCTCAATACTAGTGAAGGCCAAAGTGGGTCAGACAAACATGTTTGATGGAACTTAGGTGGAGTCTTTGGTAGGAAATGAACAGCCAAGTGCAGCGGCTAAGCAGCTAAGTGAGCCTGTTTACATGAAACACCTCCTCACCCTCAGAAAGCCTTCTCGTTTATTTATATCTCACATTTCATCAGGAAAGCTGAGAATGACATATAAGGATATTCCAAACAGTCTCCCATCCAGAAAAAAGTTTGAGTCTCCCATCCAGTTATAGCTCTAACACCATAAAATCATTGTGTGCTCTTCCACTGTTTTCCGAACCTTCTGGAAAAATTACCTCACTAAGCCCAAGAATTACAATTTAATTGGCAGGTTTCTAAAAATACTGCCCCCCATATACGTGCCTAGTATACACAACTGAAAAACAACAACACACGAAATCCAATAACAATGAATACAATAAATTAACTTATTGTAAAGAATCTAAAAAAAGTAAAAGTAATCCATAACAGCCAACAGTGCAATCCTTTGCTACTTCAGCCTAAGCCGCCCTGAGCCTGCTTTGGCAGGGAGGGTGGGGGTATACATTTGATAAATAAATAAGCCCACTGAAATCCACGGGAGTAACTCTGTATAGGATTGCAGGGTTAATTTCTTTGTGGAATGCTGGTGACCAATTATCTATTTGAGAACAAATCAGGGTTTACTGATGAATACACTATATATATTATTTAAAAAAGATATAGTGCACATCTCAATAAAGAAAAATCCCAAAAGTTTTGAAAATAGCAGCCATTAAAAAAAATCTGTTTTCCAAGCGATCTTTTATGGTCGAACATCTTATCCAGGCTGCTGCTTCTACTTGACAGTGGAATCTATCAGTGCATTTTTACAATGGTTTGATTCTCATGATTTAATTGCAGTTTAACTCTTCAGGCAGGCCCATGGTGGGGGGGACACCAAGTTCAAAGTAACTAGACGGCACATGCTGCTGATTCTGAAAATCCTAGGAAGAGGAGACGAAGGCTCCTCTTCCTAATCTTCAAGTAAGAATCTTTTGACTCCACTGCTCTGCATATGATAATAAACCAAGGAAATCAATGTTTGCAATTACTATAACATTTGCAGTCATTCAGATCAAATTCCTAAATGTATGTTAGAAGCAGGGGCATCAAAAATGTCATCCTGCTGTGTTCTAAGCGCAAACAAGGCACTTAAATATTTGTTCTTCTACTCACTTTGCACATTTGGAGCCAGGCATCCTCTTTGCAAGAACTATGTCTAAAATCTTGGATTCAAGCTATTTAGCTACTCAGGCTTAGCGAAGTATGTGCAAAGTAAACACGGACTCACAAAGTTCTCCGCTTTGGTTAAGCAGCTCTAATTAACATTAAATCGTAAAACTGATTAAAAGAAAGGCAAAATAAGAAAAACCAATTCCAAAGTAGATGGGAGCAGTGCTCCCTCTAAGCTTTGGAGTGTTGTGAGCAAAAATTCTACTTTGTGAGCTACTGGCATTAACGTTGTGAGCAAGCGATTCGGCTACTACATAAAATTGTGTGCTTTGGAGCCATCCTTCCTGAGCCAAGACAAAAATGTGTGAGCTGGAGGCTAAAAAACTGCGAGCTAGCTCTCACTTACTTAGCTTAGAGGGAACGCTGGAAGGGAGTGGAATCAGCCATAATATTGTGTCTCAAATAAAAACATTTGGTAAGTTTGTCTGTATCCATGCCAGTCAGCTTTTGGGGGAAGTGAGTAACAATCAAATCCAAAGTCTGAAGCAGAGCCACTTTCATGCATACTCCTGTATATATGGAACCTCCAGACCCATCCGATCCTCTCATGCCTTGGTGTGGGGTCTTTTATCATAAGTCTACAAGGTTGGGGAACAGGTAGCAGCACAGCAGGGGACAAAGAAGTAGCAAGACAAATCTGCCTCTATATAGACAGGTCCAGAATAATTTCCACTTCAGGTGTGCCACTTGTGCATTCATACTGCAGGAAAAACTTGGGCATGAATCAGGCAAACCCAACTTACCTAGAAATCATTTTTTTAAAATGAGCCTTCCAATCTTTGTAGCCAAAGAAAAACATGAGGCACAATTTCAGCAAGCACAACACAGAAAACCACACTCCTATTTCATGCAGGACACCGTTCCACACCCATCACCAATGGCTATGCTTAGGCCTACCTGTAGAAGGTTCATCCATCGAGAAGGCTTTGTTCTCCACAAACATGCTCTGGGATTTCTGCTCCTTGAGGATTGTTTCATATCCTACTCCCCTGGTAGGGTAGACATCATCCTCATAGGCCTGCTCTGGCCCTGGTCTGATCAACTGAGAAATCTCAGGGATGATGTAAAAGAAGACAAAGACACAGGCATTGGAGACGAGAGCAATGGCCAGTGTTGGGTCATCCCAAGATAAGCTACCCTCCTGCCTGTTGCCGTAAACATACATGACAATCCATACTACCCAGATAGCCATGGAAAGTGAAATGGTGAGGAGGATGAAGATAGCATGTTTCCTCCAGTGCTTATACCGTCCACACAAGACAGGCCAAGTGGCAACAAAGCTAGCCATTTGCAAGAACATGACATAGATGAGCGCCATGACGAAATCCACATTGTCCACTAGACAGGGGTCCTTGGATGCAGTGTTGTTCCTCACTATAGTAATAATGAGCCACTCAGCATTGATAATCACTTCAACCAAAACGAGAAGCAAAGCCACACCAAAGGTAACCCACCCCTGGGGACCATGGTTCCGTCGGGCGAGGAAATTCAGGCTGAGGGAATGGGCCACCAGGCAAGAGAAGCAAATAGCAAAGAGGACGCCGAAGAGGAAACGTCGTGAGGCACACGTCGAAAAATATTGCTTGACAATGAAGGTAAACGTCAGGCAGAACAGCCCAAAGGTGCCCAATAAAAAAAAGGCTTGAGTCCCTATTAAACTTTTCTTCCTGTGGTCCTGGACAAAAGGTGTGCTGGCCACCAAAATAACAGTGAGGACAAAGCTGGTCACAACACCAAAACTAGCCACCGCCTCCAACACGATGCCCCAGGCTGCCGACAGGTCACAGAGGTTGTAGTAGATGGATTGAAGGTCATTACCACACCCTGCAGGAGGGGTCTCTTGAGCCAAGCACACATTAATGGGAAGTGCTAGGAGCCAGAGGCATAGTAGCAGTATCCTGGGTATAGCCGCCATTTTCAAAAGAAGGCCAGGATTCTTTTGGCACTTCTGGAAAGAACTAAAAAAAACAAGGGGGAAAAAAGGACAAGGTTAAGAACGATTAAAGGTATGTTGTGTACAGACCCGGATGTAGTCCACGTTTTAAGAAAAGGGAATCTGCACCATATTGGTTTAATTTCTGCTATTAGGACTGTCAACTGACAGAAGTGTCCTGGGCCTTTAATAGAGGCTTTAATGTTTTGAAACAAGCAGTTGAAGATTGTCATGGCATCGAAGTAAATAACCTCACCTGGCAAATAACATCTCATTAATCCTCTGTTATAGCCCTGACCTAGATAGTTCAGGCTAGCCTAATCTCATCAGATCTCAGAAACTAAGCAGGGTTGGCCCTTGCTAGTGTTTGGGTGGGAAACCTCCCAGGAATACCAGGGTCATAACACGGAGACAGGCAATGGCAAACCACCTCTGGCCATCTCTTGCCTTGAAAACCCCACAAGGGTTGCCATAAGTCAGCTGTGACTTGATGGCAAAAAACAAAACCCTCTATTAAACGGTCCAGAACATTTCTCTCCAGGCCAGCTGCCAACCCTTCAATATATATATAACTTACCAGTAATTTTGCAAATATTTGCTTATTTTGCACAAAATAAAGCCTTCTGCGGGTCACTTGGAGAGACAAAGAACTATGCAGAGCAACGAAGCCCTGCCACTTAGCCATCCCCGCCAATGCTGCTCACCCTTGCTCATTCCAACACCAAATCATCAGGCATTACCTACATAGCTCTAAACCTATTTTCAGAATAATACAGGCTAGAAACTTCCTTTTAAAAAGGAAATATATATACATATATTATTCATATACTTTTAATTTGTTTATGTAAGTATTTTACCCTGTTGTTTGGACCCAAAGCAGCTTACAATGCAACACACCCAGTTTAAAACAAACAAACAAAAGTACCCAAACACCACATCCTAAGACAGCTAGGGTGCCCAGGTCTCCTGCAGGCCTCTCCCTTCCCTCCCCCCTCTGTGGTGCTAGGCTGCACCAGGGATTAGGAAACAGAGGCTGCAATCCTAAACACACTTTTGTAGGAGCAAGCCCCACTGAATAATATTGGGCTTATTTCCATGTTCACTTATAATTGTTCCGATACTGTTAACTGACATGCAGTCATACAACAGAGTGACATATTGGTAGCAGTAGACATAGAAGTGAAAGGCACTGGCTCACTTGGTACACACAGTACACTTGGTATACACTCTACAGGTATCAGACCCTGGGGGGTTCATTCCATGAGAAGTCCTGTGCCTGACAGTCTGGGTATCCCTAGCCCATAGTGATGATTTAGGGCAGTAATCTAATTTGGTATAAAGCAGCTCCTTATATTTTTACCCAAAGGTCCTGCATAGATATAAATTGAGAGCAAGACTGAAACAAATGTAACAAAAATTCTAGCAAAGTAGCCGCTTAATGAATAGCCTATCTGTTGCGGCATAAGCTTTTATGGGCCAGAGCCAACTTCGTCAGATGAATGAAATGTTATCCTCAGGTGGTGTTATTACAAAGTGAGGCCAAAAGGCCCAGCCATGCAACACAAGAGAAAGGTGTGCCACATTACAATGCAAAGCACAAATGGAAACAAGACCAACTCAAAAGTGTAAAAGATCCAATCAGAGTATAGAAGTGACTTTTTCTCCAGTGCAAGAAGCAAAACTAGAGGAATCATTTATGAGCACCTAAGGACGCTCTCTGTAATAAGCTGGCTGCTCCCGGCCTCTATTGAGACCAGCCTAAACACTTTCTGAAACCTTTTTTTTTAAAAGGCCTGGTGACTTTTGAGTCTGTTTCAGAATACCCGGGGGGAGACTGGGTTCTGAAGTGCTTCTATTTTTAATTTTATTTGTGTCCATTTGATCCTTTGCATAGACAGCCTGATCTGGCCTATGCAAATAGCACAAGGGTAGTGCTAGCACATATTAGCTTATATCTTATTAGATCACTCTGATTATATTGTGAAGGGGGAGACGGACAAGGCCAGACACGTATCCAAGGAGCCCCCTACTTAAACACAGGCCCAGAAGAGTTGAAAAACAAATAAACAGCAATTCAGCCGCAATAATGGATCACCCAATGGGCATAAGAAACTTGAGAACCATCCCCAGTAATTCAGCTGCCAACTCCGGGTTCGGAAATTCCTGGAAACCCGGACATGAAGTCTGGGGAGAGAGCCCAGCAGCGTATAATGCCACAGAGTCCACCCTCCAAAGCAGCCATTTTCTCCACAGGAACTGATCTCTGTCGTCTGGGGATCAGCTGAAATTCTTAAGATCTCCAGGCCCCACCTAGAGGCTGGTGACCCTATAATCATACACTGACTTGAGGGACACTCCATGCGACCCACCACCAGTAACCTCAGCCACACATTAAGGGCTGATTCACCCACACATCCTCTACTGTGATTTATTTAAAAGTTTAAATTTGCTTTGCTACATTTAAAAAGTCCAGAAAGTGGCATACAATAACACCAGAGTGTAAAACAGAGATTAGAAACATTAACAGATCACTCCACAGGCAAACTCACCCCACTCCGCCACCACTAACCGCCCCAGGAGCCAGCAACGTTAGCTTTCACCTGGGGGCAGCTGCCCCATGTCCTCAAAAAGCCAGACAGTTGGCCAGAGAGAGCTACGCAGTGTGCTGCTTGACTAGATGACGGATGGAACTTCTGCCATACCTCAGTCACACTCTGTTCCAGCTTCTAGGGGAGGGAACCATGAGGCAGTGGGAACAGGAACATAGATCATTGTGGAAATGCAACAGGCAAATGGGTTGCATTAGCAGTACTGTGTATATCAGGGCAGACTGGGAACTGAAAATGGTCATGGAACTGCTGCAGCACCAACAGTGGACACTGGCAAATTGGCAGCAATGCAGGAGGAAGCAATGGATGATCTGACCTTGGTCATCATCGCTGCTGAAGGACCTGAACTAAGTAGCCCTCTGAGGCACCAGCAGAGTTGACTCTGCTTGCTCCTGACTGGCTCACTGTGGAAACTCCTGACAGTGGCCCACTGGGAAATTTCTCTGCAAGTCAGTGAGTGACCAGTCCACACCTAGGGTGTATATTAGGATTCCACAGAAGTGTGCGTAGTGTAGGGGAGGAGACTGATGAAGTGGGCACAGCATTCGACTTTCCAAGAATATCACTTTCCTTTTTTCAAAAAAAGGAAGTGTCCTTGCCATTATACTCACAAAAACAAACTTGAACATATTTAGGCAATGCTTGCTAACATCTTGAAATACAGAGTAATTGTTGAATAAGGGTTCAAAACTTTGGGAGACTAGCTAAAATGCCCTGCCTATTTCCTTGCTTTCTTCTATGACTCAGCAAAAGAATAAATTACGTAGGAGAAAAGTTTAAGCAAACACACCCAATTCACCGAAGTTACACAGGTCACAGAACTCAGCATTTCTTCATTCAGAATTTGTTTTATTTTACTTCTGCATTTTTTGCCACACACAGCCCCACCCACATATTTATGTTCTGGTAAAAACACTCTTATTATTGCACTTGATTAAGTGAACTCTGATAGTAAAGGTTTCCGTTGCTCGAAAGCCAGTCGAATCCGACTCTAGGGTCGCGGTGCTCATCTCCGTTTCAAAGCCAAAGAGCCAGCGCTGTCTGAAGACGTTTCTGTGGTCATGTGGCTGGCATGACTAGACCCTGAGGCTCACGGAACGCTGTTACCTTCCCACCGAAGTGGTACCTATTTATCTACTTGCAATTTCTTTCTTTCGAACAGCTAAGTTGGCAGGAGCTGGAACCAGAGATGGGAGCTCACTCCGCCATGCGGCGCTCAGGTCTCGAAATGCTGAACTATTGACCTTCCAGCCTGCAGTTCAGCGTCTTAACCACCGAGCCACCGCAACTCCTAACTCTGATAAGTTGATGCTAAATAAATTTTGTTTGTTTAAGGTGCTACTAAACTCCTGGTTTATTCTGCTGCAACAGATTAACACAGGTACCTGCTGGAATTGTCAAAAATTTGGCCTCTCTATAATGCATGCTGTTGATGCCTTTCTACAGAATGCTCATCACTTCTGGAAGGGTGGTAGATGGGAAGTGGATCTTTGTGGTTATATTTATATACTCTGTTGCTTTCCTCCCCACAACAGAAAGGCTCAGGGAAATGAACAAACAATATATAAAATACAAAAGGGGCAAAGCAGGTCAAGGGTCCTCTTTCTGGTTCCTTCTCTGACAGAACCGTTGGCTGCAACTGAAGTCCAAGGAAGGAGGGGCCAGGCTGGCGGTTACTTTCCCTCCCTCTGTCTGCTGATGGGCACTGCCAATGGCCACTGAGGGAGCCCGAGAAGGGCTGTGTGGCAGCTTCTTTTTGTGAGGGCAAATGATACTCACTGGGGGCAGTCCCCTGTATGGAAAGCTATTTCTCAAGACAGCTTTGTTGTGGTTGGACCAAAACAAAGAAAGAGTCATTCCCCCTCCCCCATTAAAGTATTTCCCTGAGCAGCCACATTCTCATGAGCGGGCATCAGCGCACAGATTGCTGGCCTTCGTCTGGCTGCCACTTAACATTTCTTGGTTCTCAGGCTTAGAGAATTCCAGAAGGCTTCCTAAAGAGGGGAACTCTCACAGGCCTTCCAAATCTGGGTTTTGTTTTGGTGGCTGGGATTGCAAGCTAGTACCTTGGTGCTGTGCACCTTGGTGTTTAGTCATGCCGGCCACATGACCACGAAAACGTCTTCGGACAGCGCTGGCTCTTTGGCTTTGAAACGGAGATGAGCACCACAACCCTAGAGTCGGACTTGACTGGCTTTTGAGCAAGGGAACCTTTACCTTTGCTTGTTACCCTCTTCCTGGGGCTTTGCTCTTCAGCGTGGAAGAACTAGTTTCCTTCATCCATCCCTCTCATTTTCCTTATTTTGACAAGCAAGTTATGAATACTGGCACTCACTTTTGGGGGCATGCTCAATTCTGGTTCCCTTCACACATATCAGCACTTGGCTACTTTACACCCCAAACAGTCCATACATTC